TGTTGTCGCCGGTTGCGACTTCACTTGTGTCTTGATGCTGTTGCGATTGGCGGCGCAGCTTTCTATGTTGCTGGCACTGTTGTTGCTGCTCCTGCTTTTGGCTGCGGCAGATAGCCTCCTTGGGATCTGAGTTCTTTTGTTCCCGCACCACCAGGATTCTGTCGCCACACTTTCTGATGGTGCTGGTACTCGTACCCGTGGCGATACCTTGATCCGCTCACTATATGTCCAGTATGTAGTGTTCTGAATGCTGTGCTCTGATTTCGAAGGCTTAGGTCTTCCTATCGCATTTTCTGGCATGATTATGGTTTCAATGATGCAGTCAGTCTTGGCACAGGCATCACTTGCTGTGGCTATTACTTACCCCAGTTAGGACCGTGGATGTGCTTCTGCGAACATGACCATTACCATGATGTCTAATACAAAGTAACCATATGGGTAGTTGTCAAAATTATGGTCTTTTTTGGGGTACCCTAAATAATAGGTGCCGTATTATAATAAAGACCCCAAAAGGGACCCTAATTTTGACAACCACCCATATGTTGCTACCGTGGCTCTGAAGTCCATGCAATGTAGGCATATTAAGCCTGGTGCCTGGCTGGATCAGACGTGTTTCATGAGAATGATGGGGTGGTAGTGGCAGTGGCTGTGGTGAGGACGGGAAGTTGCCATGATATCACTCATGATAAAGATGCTGTGATGGGAATGAAGGTTCTACTGATGGAGAGCGTGTGGCTAGCGCTGCTGTTGCTGCTGGCGGCGGCTGCGGTAGCTTTGGGGGTAGGCGCGATGGTGATGGTAATGGTGATGGCGTTGGTGACGGCGATGATAGTCCTGGCATTCTGATCTTTGCACCCCCGCTACAAGCATGCACTTCTTTTGTGCTATTGTTGCAGTCGTTTTGTACGACCGATATGGGGTCAGCGCAAACCCTTTGCTTCGCCCGAAAGTTTTGGTCACTAGACTTCGAAGACAAAGAAATACACCTCCAGGACCCAAAGGCCCTCAAACCCTCTGAAGCCCTAGAAAACCCTAAATAGCATTTTGAAAAAGCGAAAAACACATCCTTACCTGAGGTCGCAGCCATTGCTGAAAGCTCAACAGCTGACCAGGAGCTGGTTTGAGGACATCTGCCACAAGAGAAGCAGGGGCTAAAGCTTCAGGGCTCAAAGTTTAGAGCTTAGGAACTCGAATTCTTGCAGGGTTGCATGAGGACATAAGGGCACCACAAGCGCTCCACGAGCAGTCTCGGACAGGGTTATCTATCCCATGAGGGTTCTGCAAGGTTTCCGCAAAGAGTTCAGCACGGGCTCCATAGGGGGTTCTATGGGTTCTACAAGGGCGTCAGGGTTCAAGATTTCTGTAAGGTTGCCCATGAGGGTGCGGTCACGGCTCTATAAGGTTTCTATGAGGGTTCCTATGCAGGCTGTATGGGGGTTCTACAACAAGGGTGGGGGCTGACGCTGGGTGTTGGCCAAAGAGTTCAGGGCTTAGGATGTAGGCCTGGGATACAGAGGATAGGGCTTGGTTGTGCTTTAGGAGTTGGGGTTCGAAACTCTATGTTTGTTCGACACTGGCTCCTGCCTAAGCATATCGCTGACTGCATATCTACCTGGATCCTGACTTGAAAGCAAACCTTTCTGAGGAACTCGACTTGCCAAGGGAGCTCAGGGCGAACTCTGCACTGTTTGGGGCCCCGGGCACTGTCATTCGCTCTTTCTTCCACAGCCTTCTGAGGATGACGCAAGCACTCCTGCTGAGATTCACCTCCCTCCAAGGAGTGTGACCAGTCTGCGAAGCAGGAGCTTAGGGGCCCGCACCGCAATCCCTCGGGGCTTGGCAAACTAAAGGCCCTTGCCTTGCGTGTTGCGATGTCTGCAGGAGTCAAGACTCGCAAATAAGCTCACAAAACACAGCTGCACAACGAGTGAGCTAAACCGGGCCATGCAAAGGCTCAGCAACACGACACTGTAGCAGAACTTGTCTTGCTGGGATAGGTGCTACTCGCAGAAGTAGCCGTCAGCAATCAGTGAACAAGGAATTGACAGAAAGTCGAAGCAGCGAACGATCGAGTGAGGAATGGCAAGCTGGAAATCAGCAAAAACACGGGCAGATAGTCGCAACAGAATGTGTCGTACTGGGACACCATACGGGGAAATCAAGACCAGGAGAGGCACAGGAAGATCACACCTCCTTTCGCAGGCTGAAGCATACTTGGAGCTCCAACAAAAAGTGAATAACAAATAAACAAGCATTAGCCAAACAAGAAACACGAGCTTAAGAATGGGGACATCCACCCCAACATGTGCTTTCTGGCATGACATAAGTTATTCCCTCATCAATATGTCCATCATGAAGTAAATCAATACCACCCATGACCATCATCACCACCATCATCATCACAACCATCAACTGCAGTAGCAGTGTTCCAACCATGCCCATCACCATCAGCATTGTCATCACCAAACACCACCTCCATGGGCACCACAATCATCAACAGCACCACAGCCATTCTCAACGTGACCGTCGTCGACATCCTCATCAAATAATCAGCAGTGTTATCATCGTCTCACCTTCATTGCTGTAATGGCAGCATGAATCCGATTCCATGTCACAGTCACAGTCAGGATCACAACGGCAAGAACAGCGCCCCGAGGCATGCTGTGGTGACAGCTCGATAGGCTATTTGCCTTGTACCATGTGCATGAGGTCCCTTGACACTCAGGCGGTAGCTACAGTGCAGCTTAGGACACGCCCCGCCGCCAGAAAAAGGCTCGCTGCCTTGCATTATCGGCTTCCTCTTCAAGGGAGGCAACCAGGGCCCGTTCTCTGAGTGCAGAAGCCACAGGGGGGGCTCGAAGATACTAACAAATTCAACACGAATGAGTCTGCTCCAACATCTGCAACCCTCCCCATGGAGCACCTCTGTTCTTTGAACCTTTAAGAGGCTCCCTATAATCTGCTGGTCCGCAATCCTAGCTGCTCGTCCTCCTTGCGGGAAACGCCTAGGGCCTAGGCGCAGACCGGACTCAGAAGCCTCTTCAGGAGATCTCTGTACCTCAGCTCAGGGTTTCTTTTTTAAGCACCTTTTTCCACCTAGCAGTTAAGGTCGGCAGAATTCGCTTACGCGAAAGGCTTCTGTGTCTAGCACACTCACTCACCCTCTCCATCAGCTCAGGGTTTAGGGTTTAGGGTTTAGGGAGGACAATCGCAGTCTTCTCGGTTCAAGGGACTCAGTGTGCACAAGTGAATCTCTAAGCGTCCCAGACAGGCTGCTTGCCGGCGCGCCGCGGCAGCGCGCAGTAGTTTAAAGGAATCCAAGCCTCCCAGAGACGTCGGGCGGGGGGTGCTGGGGCTGTTGTAATGACAGCGACAGCCGGGGAGCATGACCGCCAGACTGGGTATGGCGACCCCGAAAAGACTACGATGATCATGCAGACACTGGAGCGATCAGCGTCCACTCGAGCCTTCCGAGGGACAATCACTTTGTAGTACGGCTTTGGGCCCCGGGCTCCTCCCTACAGTGCCCTAGGGCCCCCAAGTTGCGGCCTTCAGCGATTCCCCCGGAGCCCCTCTTGAAAAGCTGGTCTGGGCTGCAGCCTATAGCGAGGACCCGCCTCCGTCCAGGCTGGCAAAGGATACCTTTGTCTGGCATGGGGCCGGGACTCCGGAATTCACGTGAAGGATGAATAATAATAAATAGTAGTACTAATAGTAGTAATAATAGTAGTAATAGTAGTAATAATAGTAGTAATAGTAGTAATAATAGTAATAATAGTAATAGTATGGTAGTGAGAGTTTAGTTATCACGTCCTCGGATGCGGGTTGTGGAGCTGTGGTCTGGCATGCTCCAGAAAAGCACAGCTCCCAGAAGTCGATACGGCTTTTGCTAAAGATCATTACTTTAAGATCATCATCGTTGGTCTTTTGCTGCTGAGCTTCATCGCACCGACAGCAGGGATTGCTATTACTGTACTACACTTGCCCTTGCAACCAGCACACTGGACGTAGGTATCCAAGAGCATCATCGCCAGGTCCAGCCGGTCGATCGACTCGGCGGCGGCCCTGCAACGGAGCACGATCTCGGGCTTGTCTGGTCTGCAAAAAGGAGAACACGACTCTCGGATGCAAAATCGTCGGCGCAGATCCCCCGTGGAGCTGCCCACACACAAGCACTGGAGTCACTGGAACTTTCGATGTGCTTTTCATCTCCATTCTTGAAGCGAAACAGCAGGGGGGGGGGGAAAAAAAAAGAAGCCCCATGGGTTTAGGGTTTAGGGTTTAGGGTTTAGGGTTTAGGGTTTAGGGTTTAGGGTTTAGGGTTTAGGGTTTAGGGTTTAGGGTTAAGGGTTTAGGGTTTAGGGTGGCCCAAAGGCCCTCAGCCCTTCCAGTTCGCCCAAACCAGTCTTTGCCTTGACAGCCTCTGCCGGCCCACGAGGTCTTCGGTCAGGCGGCCGAGGATGGCTTCCAAGCCTCATTCAGCGGCCACCTCTACGTGGGTGGTTGTCAAAATTCTGGTCCCTTTTGGGGTACCCTAAATAATAGGTGCCGTATTATAATAAGGACCCAAAAAGGGACCATAATTTTGAAAACCACCCACATGCAGCGGAGCACCGCACTAGATGCTTCGAGTTCACCCACAACCATCGCCCCCTGTAGCTCAGGCCGGGTGGCTGAAACCATGATCCTTACCCAAGACAGAACAACTGGAATTGAGACCTCCCCAAACTCCTGGAAGCTCCAACCTGTATCCCAAAAGATCTCGGCTTAAGAAATTGTTGAACTCGATTTCTGAAAACACAAAGAGCCGCTGGCTGGTCCGAGCTGCTGAGCTGGTCCTCCGCGGCGCCCTCCCGGAATCGAAGCCGCTCCTGTCACTAGCACTAGCGCTGGGCATTGGGATGGCACTGGGCTGCCTGGCTTGAATGCACCCACTCTGGACCACCACCATCACGTCGGCTAGAACTACTGCGTCTCCTCTCCCACTACTCACTTCGCTGCTACCGCACCACCGTGCGCCACTGCTTGGGTCGAAGGTCCTCCTCCGAAGCGAAGCACCTTGCCCTGGCGAGGCTTTTTGCATCGAGCGCGGCGCTACATCGTGTGAGATTTATCAACTTGACATGTCTGAAAAGATGGCCTGTACACGATGGTCATGCGTAAGTCGGAGGAGTTGTAAGTCTGGAGCACCTGCCGACCGCCAGGACTCCGTCGCGTCGCAGTCAGTCCGAGATCACACTTGAATTATCTTGATCCTGAGGCAGCCTCGCCGTTGCTCCGGAGCTGCCATTTCTCATCGCCCACCTCCGGGCTCAACTATTTCAGGGTGAAGACCGGAAGACACAACGTACCAGCAGTACATCTTAGTCCCGAGCATAGAAAAGCGCGTTGTCTTTGTCCTGCCAACACGGACAGAATTAAGCTGGTTCGGGCATGGGCTAAAGGAGGTAATGCTTGACTTGCTGCTTCGAGGCAGAAGGCATCGTAACTGAATTTGTCCCAGCTTCAGATTGAAGCTTATGTTGAAGTATTGAACGCCTCTTGACGCGTACGCAAGGTCCTTGTCTAGCAACGGGGCTTTGACGCTTGGACGAAAGACGCCGGCAGCGTGCAGCGTCTTGCTTCCGTCGACCTGGGCCGTGAGGCTCCATGGTATGACAGACTAAAGCTCACCAGCAGGATACCACCGCCACCGCCACCGCCCCGCGGCCACCGCCATCAGCATCATCAGATCAACAAAGTTATCATAAACGGCCAATGGCATCACCATGTTAATCATCATCATCCTCGCCTAGATCATCATCGTCGTCGTCGTCATCGTGGTCATCATTATTATAAGCATCATAACTCTCCTCGTTTATTGTCGTCGCGATGATGATGGAAGAGATGATACCCAGGCTGCCAAGGCTTCCAAACCCAACCCTCACCATGCGAACCAAACAATACAATGCGAACTCAGCATCTGGAAACTTTACATCGGAAGGAATCAGGTCACTTCTCAAATACTACATACCACAGGCTTTCGCCGGAAAAATCCTGTAACCCAGCCCGGGAGCTGAAGCTCTGCATCCCGAGCCGAGGCGCCGCCACACCGGAGAGCGGCTTAGAGAGCACCGCCTTGGGTGTCGCTGAGTTCTGGTCGTAGTAGAGGAATCGCCCTGCACACCGCGGGTCGGAGGAGATAAGGCTTGGGGCTGCCGTCCGTTCTCCCATGGGTTTAGGTTTTAGGGGTTTGGGGGTTTAGGGCTTTAGGGGTTTAGGGCTTAGGGTTTAGGGTTTTGGGTTTAGGGTATGCTGGCTGAAGGCTTCGAGGCTCAAGGGCTGGGCTCAGGGAAGCCCGGGAGCACAGCTCCGGGCTGAGGCCTTGGAGGAAACTCTTCCCATCTTCAACGGAAAGGGGCGGAAAGGCTCCGAGATGCAAACGGGTAGAACCCTCAAAGCCAAGCCATGGAACCTCGGCCATTTGCCAGAAAGTATCCCTCAGATAAGGACGGGCCTGTATGAATAGATCCCAAGCACTTCGAAAGGCTGGCCTCCTGAATCGTCGTCCAACGCCGGACGATCATGCAAGTAGCCGACGACCTGAACCTGGGAGGCCATTTCGGGAGTGCCGAGCTTTCGAACAGGGAACAGCGGAAGCAGCGAACGCCACGCCTGATCCACGAAGCGGTCCTGGAAGAGGTTGGAAAATACCATGACGGCGAGCCTGCTCCAGCACCCCAACCGCAGCAAGAGCGCAAGCAACACGAATCATCACAGGCTAGCTTCGAAGTACTTGCTGGCAGCCAACAGCCCCTCGAAAGCCCGCGAAAGATGTACAACACCACATGACATCTCACCGTATCCGATAATCATATCAAGATCAGAGAGTCCAATCATCGAGCAACGTGACTTGTGCGTGATGCCGAGGAACAACCACTGCGGAAACTGGAAGCCTGAGCGGAACTAGCAACCGGGATGCACTCTGCATGAGCAGTGCTGTGTGATTGCTGTGTGATTGTGGCTTGTGGATGTGCTTGTCTCTTGTTTGACGGGAACGCCCCGGCAACTGGTTCTGTAATCCCGCGCCCTCGTGAAGTAGAAGCCTACGTGCACGCTTCCAACCCTTTTCTGAGCAGGTGGAGGTCCTACAGACTCTAGACCACACCTCCTTCGAACGTAGGGCAGCCTCCTGAAGACTTCGGCACTAGCCTTGCCCAAGCGCGATCCCCTGTTCCGCCGAGGCACGTGTGGCGCCCAGGAACCAGGGAGCATCCAGATGAAGTGCGACCGTCTGCCCCGGAACGGACAGGATAAAGTTGTACTGGAAGGGATCCTGGGCTGGCGCAAGAATTCCTCTTCAATGCCCAGGTTGACACGAACGCCAAAGCACAGAAGAGGGATTCAGGCTTTAGGGTTGAAAGCTTCGGGGTACCCAAAGCCCCGAAACCGCAAGATCCTAAACCCAAGAATCATGTACGAAAAAAAAAGGGCCCTGCGGTGCACCAGCGCAGGAGAGCCTCGAGCACCTGTTTGCTTTTGGGGCAGACACTCTTCGCTGCACGCTGGAACTTGGGCCCGGCAAAGAGCTGTTCGACCACCGGCATTTCGGTGAGGTTGAACCTGGGGTTTAGGGTTATGGGGGTTTTGGGTTTAGGGCTTTAGGGTTTAGGGTTTAGGGAGCCCCCATGGAAGGAGACAAAGGGATACACCACAGCACAAACCATCGGCATTTTCTTTTGTTGGGAAACCCCCGACTGGAATTTGCACGAACCTTTACAGCAAAGTGGTTGGCTCATGTTTTGCGAACCGTCTCGTCAACTATCGGTTGGTTTGCTCTTCGTTCTCATCGTTTCCGTTTTGTCAAACGCTCTCCACCTCTCCATGTTTGCTTTTTCGGTCTGCTTGCTCCAGTTTCTCACATTCGTTATGTGTGTTCGACTGGCTTGGTTTCTGAAATTTTCTAGGCTCCTACGACCGGTTTGCCACTGTTTCTCCATTTGTTATTCCCTTTCGACTGTTTTGGTCGTCTTTCTCGAATGTTCTCCTTGTCAAAATGCCTAGTCTCGTTCCAGTTTGCTCCTGCGTCTCAGTTTTTTATCTCCTTTCAGCCCGGTTGCTCCGCCGTATCAAGCTTTCCTCGTCGCATGCACATGCTTCTAAGCCTCTTTCTCCAAGTTGCTAGTTTCTTTCGCGCGGCCCTGACCCTATCATGTTGTCCACTCCACTTTATGCTGTTTCGGGCGATTTCCTCTGGTTTGTTCACACTTGCCTGTTCTGTCTCCAAGCACATTCTCAGGTCTCTTTCCTCTTCCTCAAATGTTCTCGTCCTTTTCGGCTGGTTTGCAGCTTTTTCTCAAGTTGTTTTAATCCCTTGGCATGCCCCTCTTTCTCAAACTGTCGTCTTCTTGAAATCTCCAGTCAGACTGTAATCCTGTGCGGGCGGTTGGTTCCTGCTTGTCAAGTCTTCTTAGACCCGTTCGATTGGTTTCCACCTCTTTCCCAGATCTCCGTTGGTCAAATTTTCGAATCTTTTTCGAGCAAGTTGCTCCTGTTTCCACAACGTTCTACTGCTTTTCGATTGGCTCGCTCCTCTTGCTCCATGCGTCCTCTTTGTCAACTTGTATGGCTTCTCGTGAGCTTCCGATCTATTGGCTCGCTCGTCTTTCTCACGGTCTCCTCGCTGTCAAGCTTGGAGTCTCTTTCAAACGATGTGCATTTGTTGCCCAAGTTTTCAAATTACTTGCGGCAGGTTTGTTCCTCTTTTCATGGTGTCTTTCTTAAAAAGATTTCTGGCACCTCTCGAGCGGCTTTGCTCCTGTTTGGTATCATCGTGATTATCATCCCATCATGTATCACAGTCCTGGCACAAGCCACCAAGACAGCCCTGAGTTTAGATCCACCTCTGCCGGGCAGCATGTAGCGGCCGAAAGACGAAACGCGGGAAACCATGTCCTCGAAAGGCTCCCGGATAGCCTGGAGCACCGATAGACATAAGAAGACACGGAATGGACATGTTGGTGGCAATATCAGCACCGGAACTCGTGATTCAATGGGCTAGTTGTGCTCCAGTCTGCGACGGATCCTACTGTTGCTATTGACAATGGTGATGACGACGACGGTGACATTCAGGCCGAATGAGGCTGACATGACAGAGCGGAAGTGATGGCGGCGATGATCATACTGGGGAGGACATTGCCAGACTACAAATATAGGGATCAGACACAGCACGATGAAGTTCTGTCACAGTCTGGAGGACTCAGCAAGTCTTCACAAGTCAGAAGATGATGCAGATACTGGCCATGATGCAGACTGTCATCACCATCACCATCAACACCACCATCGTCATCACCATCGTCATCATCCTCGTCATCATCATCGTCATCATCGTCGTCAACACAGCGTTCCGGATACGCAAAGGTTTTCCGAGTCTCCAGAATCCGAGAACTGCCGGGTCACCTCCGGACCCCCTGTCATAATGTAGTGCTTGGCCACGTCGATCCGCTGAGGCAAGATGCACTCGCTGCCTCAAGGGAGCAGAAGGAAAGACACTGCTGAAGTGAGGGCGGCTTCGAAGCGGCGAGCATCCGTTGCAATTGCTTCCCTCTTTCGATCGAACCAAAACCGTTGCACTTTCTCTTGTGGGTATTCTGAGAAAAGCCAGTCTTCAACCCTGCTCCACGGAAGTCGCAGCATAGCTGGGATAGCTCCATTCCCAAACTTTCCAACGATAGCAGAACGCAGCAATGGCCCCGAAAGAAAGGCCAGACCCTTCACCTGTTGACTTGCGTGGGTATACGCAGCTCGGATTCGGGGCCTCGGATTCCAAAACCCACGGCCTCCAGCCTAAAACCCGCGACTGCAGCTACACTAGGGGACCTATACTGAATAACCCGAATTGGACGCGGAGCTGTTCCCGTCGCGCACTAAGAGGTGATGCGAGCAGCTCCCGTCCGCCTCTGGAAGGTCTTGCGAGGTGAGAGTGGAGGGTGGAGATTTGGAGGTTGGGATGCTCAGGAGTACTGTAGATTTTTGGATGGGGTTCGGGGTGACGCCTTGATGTTCAGGGTTTGGGGTTCAAGGTTTCGCGAATTGAAAGATGCCAATTGAAACCCTCCACAGCTCTAATGAACAGGTCTCACCAAGGGATCTTTGGGGGTTTCTGAACAGGCGGGGCCCGGCTTTTGGGCGAAACCTCGGTCTCTTGCTTCAAGGCTTAGGTGCTTCACAGCTTCGGGGCTTCGGGGCTTCAACGGTTTAGGCCTTCTTTGAGTTCCTGAGTACCTGCTGCGGCCTTAACCGGCACCTCAAAAACTTGCACCAGTTGCATAGTCAAAACAGCTATCCGAGGTCCAGAGCAAAGGCTCTAAAATGCTGAAACCAACACGTAGGCACTGCAAAAGATCCTGAACCCGAACCTACCCCGGCAGATGGTTTAGGTCTGTATCACTTGCTGCTGCTACTGCAATCTAAAACCTAAGTTGATAATTCTCGCTCGGACTGGTATTGGATTGGAGTGCTCGTCAAACGCCTACTGACCACTTCCACAGATTTCTTCTTGGCGTCATCACCATCATTGCCAAGGTGTCTGAAGAAGTTTGTGCTGCTGTTGTTGATACTAGCGATCCGGGTCCAGCAACCAATATTCCGAGCAGCACTCATGCAGAGAATCCTGAGAACCACCAGCTGCAGCAGCAGCAGCAGCGCAGCAGCGGCAGAAACAACAGCAACGACAACAAACATGAACAAGAAAAGACAAATGCAAGTGGACAGACAAGCAGAATCAAGAAGAGCTTCCGAAAAGCCCCAGGCCCTGCGCGACCTCCACTGGGCGCGCTTCGCCCACGTGGCGGTGCAATGGCCTCACGGCCGTCCTCCAGTACCGCTTCGGGCTCAAAGGTTTTGACTCAGGCGTTGCCTCGTGCAATCTTGTGCGTGTTTAGGGCTAGGTACAGAGCAGAAAGCTGGGATTGTCTGGATCTGCTGATAATCACGAACTCTCGAAAGCAGTACAAACCCGCAAGAATTGCATACCCTGTATTCTAACTCCTCAAAGCATGTTTAATGTCCCCGCAATGCTACAAAACTCGGAGCAACCCTACCCCTACTTCAAACCCAGACGTTGGGCTCCTATGAACTACTATGAAACTACAGCGCCCCGAACCCTAAAATCCCAAACCCTATGTAAACCCGCACCCCAACCCTTAAAGCTCTAATACTTTCCACCATTCCAGCCACACGGCTTGAGATCTGCTGCGACGTTGGTTGGAAGGCCCATCCTCAATCCCCAAAGAGCAGTGGAATGCATTAATTGCTAAAATTGAACGAAAAGGAACATGTGTATATACATATATAGAGATATACATATATAGATATACATATAGATATACGGTTCGGGGGCCGAACTCTACCAC